AAAATGAATCATAGTTTCCATAATGGACTAGAAAGTGTGATCGTCCTGAGTTCTTTATTAAGTTTATGAAGATTTTACAGCAATCTAAATGTGTGTGCATTAACAGTCCATTACCCATACCCAATTAAAACATTTCACTTGAATAAAAGCAAAGTGGTAAGCTTCACACTCGAAATATGCTCAGTCATACCCTTGTTAATTGCAGAGACACAAAGATAATGGAATAAAATGACTCACTCATAGAGACCTACCTCCTGGCTGTTTTCTACACTCCAACACTGCAGCCCACCCATTTGCCCCTCCACCAGCCTCCACTTTGGAACCTCGAGTATTGCTAAGAAAACATTCTCTGCGAAAATATTCTGGAGCTCAACACCTTTCTTAGAGCCTCCTTCACATCCTTGTTCCTCAAGCTGTAGATCAAGGGGTTCAGCATGGGGATCACCACAGTGTAGAACACTGTGGCCACCTTGTCTGTATCGGCACTGTTGCCAGAAGTGGGCCGGCAATAAATGAAAAGGATTGTTCCGTGGAAGACAAGAATGGCTGTGAGGTGGGAGGCACAGGTGGAAAAGGCTTTGCGCCTCCCCTCCGCGGAGCGCATCCTCAGGATGGTGATGAGAATAAACAAGTAGGAGGTGAGGATGATCACGATGGTGATGAGCTCGTTGAACGTGGCCACAATGTATAGCATCAGTTCATTCAGAGTGACATCAGAGCAAGCTAGAGATAAGAGAGGGGACAGATCGCAAAAGAAGTGGTTCATTACATTTGACCTATAGGATGTGATCTCAAGAGCTAAACACAAGTGAATCAGAGAACACACAGTCCCACAGAGGTAGCAACCAGACACCAACACCACACAGAGCTCCTGGGACATGGTGACCATGTAAAGCAATGGGTTACAGATGGCCACAAAACGGTCATAGGCCATCACAGCCAGCAGGAAGATCTCAGTTACCACACATGTGCAAAACAGGTAGAACTGCACAGTACATCCCATAAAGGAGATGGCTTTGTCTTCTTTCAAAATATTACCCAGCATCTTTGGCACGATGATTGTGGAGTAGCAGAAATCCACAAAGGACAGGTGGCTGAGGAAAAAGTACATGGGAGTGTGGAGTCTAGCAATGGCCTGAATCAGGGCAATCATGCCCAGGTTCCCCAAAACTGTGACTCCATAGATCAGAAGGAACAGCAGGAAAAGAAAAACCCTGAGCTCAGGAGTATCTGTTAACCCAAGGATAATGAACTCTGTCACAGCAGTGCAGTTCTCCTCACCCATGTCTCCACTTCATTGAGGTTGGAGAATAATAACAGAATTGTTTATTGTTATTATTATATTATCCGAAATTCAGTTTTGATCGTCTCCTGGAAAAGACATGAGAAATAGGTAGAATAGGTAATTTTTTCAACAAGTAGGACATTGCTCTTGTGATGTTTAGGACAAGTCCAAACATTGTGGCACACAAATGCAAAGAGCTCACTTTATTTCACAGATCACACGAAGCACTCACATACATAAGAGCCTATGTGTTTCCCGGACCTACTCCTATACCACTGGGAGCCTGAAAGACCTCAAATATTATTTAACTAGCCATATTGTTTTATGAAATTTAAATCCCTTTTTATTTTGCTGACTTTTTAGTTAGTATTGGAAATATTGGAATGCAGGAAATAATTTTTAAAAATATATAGTCCTTTACTGTTTTCCACTGAAATGATGAGAAGTGTGCTTATTTAAGATTGTTACCCACAAGTGTTTATTTTTATCAATACTTTTTAGATGGAGAAAGTGTCTTTTCTTCATTTTTTTCTATAAAATTAGCATAGTGATTTTGTTAATTAGTATAATGCAAGCCATTATTCAGTGAATTGGTCTCTAGGATTCAAACTTCCTGTAACTGTGACTCTGAAGCATTATAATAACCTATTTGTCAAATAAATTCATTGCTTTAAATCTATTTGAAGAACTAATCAAAGATGTAAATATGAAACTAGTAACAAAAAATGTTTACTACCACATTGAAGCATGACGTATGATAGTAAAACTTAGAAATAAAGTGTCAAACAGGAGAGAAATGATCAGTTATGGTATAATATATATAT